CATATACATATATATGTAAGTACATACGTCTAACCAGTAGTAATATTATCTTCATTTTTTCTATTTATTTATTGAACGATGTGAAATTCTAGTTTATATTTAAGTATTCATTAACATTCTAACATATAACTGTTTCAATTGCACAAGAAATGCAACAATTTAATAACTTCTATTAGAATAAAAAGAAATTGCATTCTAACTTAAAACTTCATTATCTACCTAACTGTTTCCTTACAAAATAAAAATTAAAAGAATTCCTCAAGTACAATATTATTAAAAACAACGATACGATAATTCTAAAAAATTTCTTCGTAAAAATTCCTGGAACGATTGTAACGAATTGTTAACGAATACCAACCACTTATATTCAATACGGTAGCTATTGTATTCAAATGTAAATTCGAAAGCTATTCACCACGGAAATACAAGAAATCCTCGCGTTGAAAATAATCTTCCTGTTCGATGACGTGACGATGATCGCGAGCTATTTAACGAGAGTACAGGAAGAAGCGTGTTCTTTGTCGGCGCAACAAGTCGCGTTAAATGGTCCGCCATTATGCAATGTATCGTGCCGACTAATGGCCGACGCACGTTCACATTTACATAATAATCGTTCATTGACGAACGAAAAGTTGTCACACCATGGAATAACTGACCAATTTCGAGTATTTTAATTAACACAAGTACAGTTTCCAATAGCTAACGTGCATTCTGTCGGTATGTCGAGCTTTTTATTATTGCGAGTAATTTAAAAATACTGTCTAGAGACGCCATTGTGGAATACACTACTCTAATCATGCTTCCGTTTAATTTTCTTTATTACATAGTTTACTGGTATTTTGTGACAAGAATTGAAATTCTTTTTCCTACGAAATGAAGAGAAATTTTTTGAAAAAATTCTGAATTCTTATTAATTTTGAAAAAAATATTTTCACGTATAATTTTTGAAAAATATATTTCTCCTGTAACACAGTAGAGATAAAAATTTTAGTAAATTTAGTATTTATATAAAAAATAATAGTAGACCGATTTTACGAACTCACTATATTTCTTTCAGAGATTCTACTCCGACGCCTAACCGATTTTACGACTTCGCTGTATGGCTTCCACCTTCCGACTATAATATCGATATAATTACTTCAACACTCTTTTAACGAAGAGCAAAGGATTCTTCGATCCTTTCTTTATTTTACGATCACAAAAATCCACGTCACTTCAAAAGTATGTACTTGGAACTATGCTGTGAGAAAGACTGAGAAAATAGCCAACCGATTGGTCGAAACAAATAATTCAACGAAATCTGTTAGCAGAGGCTCCACCGACAAAGTGCTTTCGTTGCGATGGCCAATAAAGCCTGAGAAATGACGAAATTCACGGTAAATTTCGACTCGACCCAAATTCGCATTTGCCAAGATATACTCGAATTCCGTAGAATTTTCGTCGAGGCGTTGCCACGTATACGACGTTTCTGTCGATGAAATTTATCGAACCGAGGGGACGAAAGTATCCCTCGAGGTGGATAACGAGGGCTCTTGGAAATTTATGCTCGAGGGTGAACAGCTTTGGGCACGGAACCTTTCTTTGTTGGAGATTTGCGCCTTAAAATATTAGGAAAATACTCTTACTCTGTTTTGTAGCACCTTGTAATAACGTATATATATTTTTAAAAATTTTTTTCTTACGGATAGATTCCAGCAAAAGATGGAAAAATAGGTATTCGAGGAATTTTTTTTCAACAAACGAGGAAAGATACCGACACGAAACTTTCTACGTCGTATCAATTGATGTTTCTAGTATTTAATCGTATTTTTATTTATGAGATAAAATTCAGTTCACGTCGTCCAGGAGAATTCTAATTAACCTAGTTTCATTTTCTATTGGTCTATTTGAGAGAATTCGATAATTTAAAAATAAAATAAAAAATTTTGAAAAATTCTTCCACCAGGATATTCTGCACATCTAGAGATTACGATAGATATAAAAAGATCCGTTATGATGCGAAGAAAATCTAGTCCGGTTTAATATTGGAAAATGTACCGCTTCCTCTTTAAGTGAATTTTATTTTAATGGTTTTATCAAATACGAAGGAGAAATGATCGGGTACAGTAGGTCGATTTTCCTTCTGGAAATTGTATAGAAAATACCGGTTCTCTACTAGCCGTGTAATAAATCTAGAACGGCGATTCTATAATTAGTGGTTTCGAAGGATAGCGGGTAACGATATCCAAGATCGAACAGACCTCCTATTAAAATAACACGACTGTTAGCTTTCGCGGTGTTGGCATGCAAAAACCGTGGCACATGGCACGCACTCGTTCGGTCCGGCGAATTCGCAACTAGTTCCACGCGAATTCCACGCCGAATATTCAGAAGCCTCGAGAAGTTCTCGATCGGTCGACGGTATTCAACGAGGTATTCCAACACTTTGTTCGAGAGTTTACACAAAAATTTTAAAGTAGTGAACAAAAAAATGTTGAACTACAAGAATGTAAAAAATTATAATTGAACTACGTTCACGATGGGTGCACATTTCAATTTATACGTTTAATATTATCGAAGGAAATAAAGTTGCGCTTACACATTGATACACAAAGGATCTTTAAGTTCCAAATGTAAATAACGCGTATAAAATTAAAATATTGCACTTAAGTATTTAAACATAGATTTCATATTTAAAAATTTCAATTAAAATAACGAATTGAAATATTCAAATTCAAATCCAAATGACGATTTAAAAATTCAAATTTAAATAATAAAATTAAAAGTTCAAATTTCTAATCCTCAACTGTAAAAATTCTAATTCTAATTAGAAATTCGAAGGATCGAATAAACTGAACTTCGCTCTCGAAACACAAACACTTCTATTGTCTTAACTTTTTACCAAGAGTAAAATACCGCTAACCTCCGCCGAATTAGAATTTCAAACGTTCAAACAATCTAGAAACAAACAGAAACATCGAGATTTCTCTCATTGAACGTTCAGTCCCTAGGGGATCGCGGGCCCTATTCTGTACTCGATGAAATACGAAAGGCAAGAGGGGGAGAGAGGAGGAGCAGGTGCAAATTTTCGACTCGACGAAAATGTTTGTTTTTCGTTTACCCCCCGGGCAAGGAAGGATTGCGGCGAACGCGCCGAGGGGGCTCTCTCCTCGCGTGTTCTTCGCACTGAACGCACTGACGAAGCTTCTATAAATAGCGGATACGTTACTGAAATACGTGAAACGAATATACATATATATATAGTATGCACGCGTGAAAAAAATTGGCTGAGAAGCAACCTTAATTCACACCCACCAATACTGTATTTCATTATCGCGCAATAATAAATACGTTTACTGCAAATGTTGCGTGTTCAGCTGTCAATGACGCCGTTTCTTTCTCACGGTATCATGAAAATTATATTTCCGCAACATTTCAACTACCGGTATTTAACACGTTTTACATTACTATGTTTTCGAATCTATCAAGATGATTTTCATGAAACGAGATATCTCACAATTTGACTTTAATGTTTAATTCACTGAATTGTCGAGTTCAATAGAATTTCCTTATTCTTGGAAATTAATCTAGAGCTAATATTAAGTCTTGTAAAGTAATTTAACACAGGAACCTGCAAGGTATAACCTATAGATTAGCATGTTTGACAGGCGTACTTCTTATGTAGCGACACTGGACCGCGAAGGATTAAATAAATCGATGAATCGAACATAGAAACCTTAGGCGAATTTTTGTCAAGGCATAAAGCGTATTTATGTGCGGGTAGTTGGGGCAACGTGAATGCAGTGTTATGCTAATTCGCGCTAAAAACCAACACTCCTTGTGTAACCGCGCAGCATCGATCCGGGAAAGAATTAAATGGCGACTGTGGGACACTGTTGCGCCTCCTGGAGCGTGGGATAAGTGTTTGTGCTTGTCGATTAATTTTAAACGATCGATCAATTGATTTCCGCATTCCCTTGATTTTCATGAGAACTTCAAGTGAGGTAATGTTAAATATAATTATGATCGGAAATCCGTACGGTACATGTGGAATTTTCGCGAAATATTAAATTCGAGGTATATTTTGTTACCATAGTAGGCAGTGCTTTATTCGATCGGTGATAAAATTGATTGATTTTATCGGCCGGTTTGAACGATCATATGATTCGATTGAAACGCGTTTTGGACAGTAATCAAAGTAAATTATATTCTTATTGCAAACGAGCAGCATCGATTGATTTGCTTCAATATACATTCATTTATCTTGTAAATAAATATTGACGAAAGTAATGAATATGGGAATAAAGATATTTCAGTTGAAATAGTTGCTTCTTAATTCTGTAACGTTGATCAACTTAATACCAATAATATCGGGCACCGATAACTCTTTTACCATTACCTGTGATCAACTTCGGTAACAGTATAATCCCGCTGCTGAACAATTACTGTTCTAGAAGGGATGACATTCGTATCCGAAACAGTGGCTATGTAAACAAACGTTTCTGGAACGCCATAAAAATAAATACTCGTCCCTGTAACCGACAGGAAGACGGCTATAAAGGGAAATTTGGAAACTTCTGAGTAGTTTTAGAATCTTTTTCTGAAATTCTAATATTTACCAAATTTAATTCAATTATCCTCTATCTAAACAATTTTGTTATTTTTTCTTATATCAAGAATCTGAAATATCTAAACATCAAGAATTCTAACAAGTAACAATTCGAAACGATATACTAGGATATAGGGTGACTCAAAATAATTTCCTCTCGACAATTTATCAAAGTTTCGATTCTCAATTTTATCTTATACAAAATACTATCACAAATATTCGTTTTTCATTTGAAATATCCAAAAATTGCAAGTAGATTGGAAACACTGACATTCAGCATTACGGGGTGACTTAAAACAACCCTATATCCAAAATTCATCAGGATGGAATAGCAGAAGAGCAATCTGGCGCCGATTGTACGCGTGTTAAAAGGTTAGGTGTGTGTACAGCAGCAACACCGGCAGCAACGTACCTGGAAGTGCTCTTAAAGAAGTTGTTACTCTCGCGGTTCATCAGCTCGTTACGGAACCGTGACATCTCGTCCTCCATCTTTCTCATCTCGGCGTCGAAGCGTTCCCGTATGTTGGAGAATTCGGTGTCGATCACGCTGAAGTCACCGAGCTTGATGGGAATATTACGCTTGATACCACTGTCAGCCATGATTTTCGCCTCAGTCACACAAGTGTCTCTTCTTATTCACCAAAGCCACTTAATAGGGATACTACCCTTGTATATCGATAAGAAGCACTGATATCTCTGTCTCGCGAACGATCGCTTTTAATTCGTTGTCCTCGGTTCACGTACGACCGCTCTGCACGCTGTCTCGCCTAAGAATGAGCGCGGCTCACCGAATGCTCCTTAAATAGTTGCGATGCAATCTCCCAGCGTTCGTGGGAGTTCGTAGCCGCTCGGCGGTATTCGGCGATTCTCGGATTCGTGCACGCGGTCCAAACCCTGAGACGAGATTTCACGAAGTTTGACCAGATCCGGATAAAATTTGATTAAAGATTCATTGTGTTATTCACTTTTTATTAATATGATGTCATCATTTTTATATAGTTTTTTCTATTAATGAACAATGAGTACGTACAATATAAATAAATACGTGCAATCTGTTCTTAGAAGATTTATTATAAGTAATATATGTATTAGTGCATTATTTCATTTATATTCATATTGAAAAATTGTACGTGAAGTACCTAAGCTCTTAAACTGCCTAAAAAAATGCAGCCAATTGTATAAATTTTTCGTTCCACATGAATGGAAGAGTGCCCTATTTTATAAAATATCAGAGTTTCATGTAATACTTTCGGTGTAGAACAGGATCACCTACATAAGCGGGCAAGTAAGGAAGCAAGTTGCCTGTGAGTGCACATAACGCGCGGAGTTTCTGAATAAACAAGTGATCTGAGAAGAATCAGTAGGCGTCTGTAGGTTACGGTTTCGCAGCAACTCGAGTGATCGTGTGCTCTATAGAAGAAACGATGACTAATACATGACCATATGATCATTTCCTTATTGATTGTTTCTTCCTCGAAGATGTACATACATATATGCATACAAGATTTGATTTCCACCCGTGTCGGATTTCGAAAAATTTCACAATACGAATGACGGACACGAAGGATGATCTTATTAAGAAAAGAATTGCCTTATATGACATAATTCATTATATAAAAATATTTTTATAATGTAGATCAGAGAAACCTTTTTCTGCGTTGGGTCAAAACTGAAAATCCAATTTCGTTGATAATATATTGAAATTTAGTGCTTGCCCTTTCTTCGTCTATATGATGTTACGGGGATTGTTTATGGAAGGAGGAAATAAATAGAGAGAAGATAGGCGGAAAAACAAAACAGAAGGAAATATGGATGTTTTTTATCCTGGATTTTGTATTGGACTGGTCAGTAACGCATATACCTAAAAGACCCGTACCTCAGCCGCGTTTGACGGTTAAACTCAGAAGTAATATCTATATGAACAGGAGCCTGGGCAGACTTATGAGAGAAATTGATATTTCGTCAGTTGTCTATCCCTCTGATGGTCAAATGTGGGAAGTATCGCCACACATTTTTTATCGATAAAAATTGCGAATCATTTTTAAAGGATAATGTAAAATAATAATTCTAAAAAGTTTAAACATTGAAAGTTTTTTTTAATCTTAACTGATTTAGGTGGATAGCACAAACAACTTCTGCAAACCTGTAGATTAATAAATTTAGAATTTTTGCAAAAAAACTATTTTTATCTTTTAATCATTAACATTTTTATGTCATGGCCATGGAATTATAAGTGTTAATCACAGTTATTCATGGATCACCCGGTATTTTCATGATATTAATCGGCTAATTGCATTACACGGTGTATTAAAAGTTTTCTCCAGTCAACAACGCTCGTAGAAGTGTCAAGACGTCAATTACCATGGCGACCTAGTTACGGGAACTCGCTTCGGTAAATTTACCCAATGTTCACAGTTGCTGTGCTTAATGACATTCCCCCGATGAACCGTGCATTATTCATTACAGTGACATTGCAATGTTCAACTTTGCAAATCCAAAAACTATTTTTAGAACGAAGCTTCATGAATTCCACGAAAAGACTGCACTAAATTTCTAAACTTGAAACAATAGAGATAACATTCCAATGGGTATTATTTACTAATATTTTTAGTACAGAGTGGGCATCATAGAGTGCTGTCCAGTCATTTTCTTAAAAACCATTGAGAACAGGGACAAAATGTCATTCTGGTACTTTATAGTTCGTTTTCGGAGTGCTTCCTTTATTTTCAATAAGGTATAGCATAATTATTCAGACTACGCATGATATACAATTTTGTCACTTTCTTTTTTATGCAGATTCCATCATAATAATACATAATTTCATAAATATTGTATGCAATAACCTAACCTCACAAATCATCACTTACAATGTCATTAACCTTACGTATATTTCATATATTACTGCATTACAAAATGTATCTCAACTAAATAGATAGAACGATCATGTAAATGATGAATTTTAACTCTTTAAATACTAAAAAAAGAAACTCGTCACTGACCCTAATAGTTCCCAAAACAGCAACTCGTACCACACACTGTATGACTCACAACACCTAATAAACTCGATCAATGCATGGTACAAGTTTCTCTCAATAAAAATCTCGAGCGGAATTTCACGCATACTTCGCATACATGCAACATGTTTTCGCGCGTTCCGATATAAATCTTCATTCCATTACACGTTACATCGAGCATCGATATACATTCTTGTTAATTATGCGTGAACACTCAGGTGTTCTAATTCGGACAGGCGTGTTGAAGGCTGTGGTTACTACATAACCTCCTGTTTACGTCGCATAAGATTTTTCTCCCCGCAAATGATGCCGGCCGCTATTTTCGCGCGTTGCACCGCGTCACACGCGGCAAGACTGAATGGAACGACGCGTCACGACGCCTCCTTATTCTTCATAAATAGCCTTGCACGCCCTCGTCCGCGATTTCCGGTGAATCAAACCGTGTGGAATGTTTCTTAACACACACGTACAGATATGTGAAGTGCAATCAGCGGGGTGATCATGGTTGCCTACCGTGGGGGGCTCTTCTGCGTAAAACTGGGTGAATAACTGCTGTCGAATGTATCGACTGATGGGTATGAATGATTTCCAGAGGAAATTTGCGGAAAATTCTAACGGAGGGCGTGATTGAATTTGGATTATGTATCAGGGGACATCTAGGGAGAAGGATTGGCGTTTTGTTGACAGGAACATATTGAAATATTAAGTGAGATTAGGAAAATATTTGTTTATTACAGAAAAGTTTCTTTAAAACAACTGAAAAACGATGTCACCTGAAATTTCAATGATCAGTGAGTAATGTATTTATACTTTGTTAATAAAAAATAGTTTTGATTCTTTAACAAATTTCATTAATATACGACATCGTTAATATAAATATGTATGTATGTAAAAAGTAGCTTTCTCTGAAACAATCGTGAGATGAACAATTCCGCCAGAAAAATGATTTCACTTGAAACACCAGTCGACTCTTATTCTACTCTATGTCTGCCTCGTGAAATCCAACATCCACTTTCCAGCCTTTAAAACAAAGACCTCCGGGACCTAGCAACATTGAAATTTATGGCGGCAAAGAGTAAAAGCAAGCTGAGAGGAGAGCCGGTCAAGAATGGCGTGGAGAACGATGACGAAGTGTGTCAATGTCAAACTGTCCGAGCCTCCAGACAACGTCTCGAGTTGTAGTACTCTTCCAGAGAGAACACAACGACTCGTCCCTTCCCTGTGCGTTCCTCTCGAACGTCCACGGAATCCCTAAGTCTCTCGCGCTTGACTAGCTGCGTGGGAGAACGTGGTTAACATGACGTCACCTTTGTGGGGGTTTTACTGATCGATAAAACGCGTCACAACGGTTCCTAATATGGATCGAGCACACTCTCGTTCGTTACGTAGCCAATTGCTGTTACACGTGTTACTACTTCTCTGAGGAAAGTACTTTTCTAGAAAGATTTTTTTTTCTAAAAATAATGATCATTCATTTGCTACTTCTTACTGTTGACGACAAGAACATATGTATTTTGATTATGCAGTATGCAATAGTGAATTATATGTACCTTCTTGTTTCTGAAAGTTTTTATTATTATTATTATTTATTATCACTCAACGGACATACGCTCAGTGTACACATAAAATATAAAGTAATGCGCATAAAATAAATAATTGCATAAGATTTATGATCATGATACACATTCATATACGATCTTTAAATGTATACAATATTTATCCCGAGAAGAAATCAATATTTTTTTAAACATTTTTATTTTGATTTTACTAGATACAATAGTAAATTGCAGGTACTCTGGTCATTGGTTAATATTTTATGCTGTCTGAGAAATAATCATCGTAATTTTAGGTTAGTTCGTAAAAATTGTTACATTATGTTGCTTTTTTCTTTTATTTCGATGAATTCTTTTATTCATCTGGATAAATACATTGGTATTTTAAAGCTATAGATTTTCTTACCTTTTTTAGAAAGATGATCTAACCTTCGAGATCAATTACTCAAACGATATTCATCTATTTATGCCTTCAAATGATTCGTCTTCTAAGAACTCATACCTATTTTATATTTATTAATAGTGCATTCTTAACAATTGACTCTAGTTCTCGCAATTAGAATTTTAATTACTTCTACATTTCTTACTTTATTCGAAAATGTCACATAACAAAGCCTACCAAACACGTTCTTCAGAAATTCTCGAAATAAAATTATCTAGAACAGACGTTAAAAAAAAGAAAAGAATAAATGAGAAAACGCTCGTGATACTTATAAATATATTTAGAATTCCAAAAATTCAACGAAAAATCCAAGAAGTATAAAATATAACCTCAAACCAGGAAACGAAGGTATGGCTCAAATTTCATCATTAATAAGCAGTCATACTTCTAGCCAATTTCGAAAAGCTTCGAGTTAATGTGGAAATTGAGTTATTCGTGCAATACGAGCAACATTATTCCGTGGAATAATTACATTGTCATGCCAGACACGAGATATAAGCGAAACAGCGTGCCAGGCAATTATATGTAGCACGGTATGTAGAAGAAAACAACTAAACGGAGGTTGTAGAAAAGGTAGTACATCACCGTTACACACCACCGACTATTAATAGCTGACGAAGTCTGAGAGAGAGCTATAGTATCCGAGGCCAGATTCGACCGAAGGAATTCTTTAGCCATTCGAACCTTTCGACCGTCATTCTTCGACGATTCAATGTCGAGGATACCGCGCGAACTAGTGCCATTTCTTGACCTCTCCTGGCGCCAATTTCATGCGATCGTAAAGAATCGGGGGGAACAATGAAACTGTTCGATCATTTCGATCCATAAAAATGAAATGAAGATTTGCTATTGCAGTCGCTAGTCTACTATTTCTTTTTTACCCTCGATTTTTCGTATTTTAAAAGGTGGTCAATAATTTGGAGAAATTATTTCGTTTATAATTTTAGGTTAAGGTTTATATTTTCAGGATAAATTTTAGAATTTTCTCGAATATGCTAGTACTTTTTAGAAATAATTTTGTAGAGATGTAAATAATTGTCACAATATCATACTGTATTTTTTTTTTAACAGTTATGTCAGATTAAGTGTGGTTATTATCGAAATCTAATCTTAATAGATACTTTCATAAAATACGAAAACATTTGATAATACCTTGATTAACAGCATACGCTTAACCTAATCAGATGAATTTCGTATATTATATTAACCCAACTGAAACATACCTTGGACCACATTAATAACCTCTAAATAGAAACTTTCACGAAGTGCTGGTGCAGGTGAAAAACGATCTCAAACTTTTTATAAAAATTTATTACGTGAACAAACGATATAATTTCATTATGTAAACAAACCCATAAAGAACCTCTTAAAAAGACAGTTGTCCGCTCCTGAATGTTTCGTTCCTTTAAATTCCAAAGCATTTGTTAGAGAGGAAAGTAGGTGTTGATAACCGAGCCGGGATGGTAAAAGGTAATTTCATTCAATGTTTCGCTAGCAAGCAGACAATGAGCACTTAGTAGTCATTTGTACTTGGCTTACTTAGAACGATTGATTGAAGAGGTTGCCTGGTGTCGTCGTACGACGACTTCGCATCGCCACCACTGACTTGAGTGCAAATGGGACCTGAGGTTAACGCGCCATGATGTCACTATCTGATATCATAGTGTCCGTATTCTACTTTGGCACCCGAACAAAAAAGAATTCAGCAAAACTGTTCAGCATTTGTCCGGATAGGTTAGCGTGTTTCCCGCTTTCGCACGATTCGACAAATACAGTTATACTGTTGGCACCTGTGACTGTGCAATCTCAATATTGACAATCTTCAAGCTTTCTATGTCACTATTGTAGTGAAAAAATATCGTGTCCAATTAGAATACTATTTAATGGCTAATAAATATTCCTAGAACCAGACATATACATCCAGTACCTAATAATTTGATAAACAAGTTTCAATAATGTTTTTGAAATAAAAATATAAAAATTACAATTGCATTGTTTATTCTACATTACGATTAGAATAATAAAAAAAAAAAAAAATGAAAAAGGAGGTGTAAAATACGGAAAAATAATTTTTTCAAGTGAGAATTGCAAACAAATCAACATTGTATCTGGTTGCGCATTTTGCAAAATATCACGACGAATGGAATTTCAAGGCCCTGTAGATTATAAGTAAAGTGATATTTACAAACGTGATAAAAAATATGTGCTGCAATAAGCAATTTATTTGAGCTTAATTGTGCTGTAAGAAAAACAGAATGTGTAACAGTGTCTTTTTTAAGTTTGAAATTTTCACTTTTGTATTCGTACCACATTGAAGCGTGATCAATGAGGTAACATCGGACGAATTCACCGTATTTGAAAGGTGAAGTATCATACTACCGAATTTTCAGGTACTTCTTCTTAAACACGTGAAACACGATCTTAACCGGTTTGTTGTAACATTCGCGCTACGTGGGTTTGCAACACGATCCGGCTGCAACTACTTATAGCATTCGTGCACGCTTGTAGTACTTGCTACATAAACGATATACACCTAGCATAAATTTTCAATGGCTAAACTGCCCGCTTGTTAAATCGTATTTCACCGCTTTGTGTTTGTACACAGATACAACGATTACATCAGGCACCTAAATATTATTGTTAATAAGACACGGTGGCACGAAAGACAACTTGCTTGAGAAACAAAACTGTTATGACAAAAACGTCCTCATTTCCAATTTATACGAATATGAATTTCTCATAAATATTCGTAATTGTTGATAAAACAGTATAAGATGCAAAAAGACTTTAGACATGTTTAATGCACTAGGAACATAAAAATAGTGTAAGATTGTTTTGTTCAAAGTTTCCAAATTTAATGAATTTAGAAATGTATTATCGACTACGTGTAATACCAACTGATGATCATCCTTCGTTTCACTCCACATGCGTGAAAAGAAATGTCAGTACATGCAAATAAATGCGGTGGCGGCCAATGTCACTGCCACGAATAAACTTACAATACGTAACACGTTGACAGACGGACGTAGTATACCGAACCAATTGTGCAAGTGCCATTCTTTTCTAATTTGCTTTTCTTAGTACACAGTGACATTGTAATTGTTGCATTGAAATCGTCTGTGTCGATAAGGAAATACGAGTTATATCACATAGGAGGTGTAAGACTGATCGTATTAACCCTTCCTTAAACTGCATTATCAAACAGCGATAAAGATAAACAATATGATAAGACTTTATCAGTGAAAATTTTTTTCGAATGCCAGTTTATTATTATATTTCATTTATAAACTACCTTTCTACACTATTCTATTAATTTTAAATATCTAGAGCGAATAATTATTTCATTAATCATTTAAACAGTGCACAGTTACAATAGTCAATTCACCCGTATTGAATAAAGGAGAGAATTCCATTTAAATTGTCACTTGACGCGCTAGTTGATTGATCTTAAGTCCCCCTTGCGTTTACCGCCGGTACTAAATTAACATCTCATGAAGTCTGTCACAATCATGAAGAGGCATGTAAAGGACGGTCCTGACAGAAAAGGGTCTGAAATTATGGACAATGGAAAACAGGGCAATGAGAAGAAACCGTTTAATAAAAAGAAGTACAGGTTACAGAAGTACAGCAATAAATATAAAAGTATGTCTTAACATGTGCGAATAATGTATAGGTTAGGTTTGAAATTTATCAGTACACGTTATAAAGTTGATATTTTGATTTTTTAATTGTACGACTTATTGCCAGTTAATCAATGGGAAGAGCGCAGGAAGAAAGCCATCTTACGAGGTTTTTACAAGGAGCTTGATACAAATCAACAGAAAATTCTAAAGAAACCATCGACCTCTAAAAGTGATGATCAAATTGAAAATGAGTAGGTATACTTATATTAAATTTTACTTCAAAGATGTAGAACTACTGTAAAGATTCATATTAATTAATTTCTTTTATAAAGGAAACAACCAAAAAAGATAAGCCCCTTTCATAAAGCTAAGCAGGAATTTTTACGTAAAAAAGATGAAAAGAGGAAGAAGAAGGAGGAAGTATCAAAAGTGAAAGAAGAACGAGAGAAAGCACTTAAGGAGTACAAGGAGAAAAGGATGCAAACTTATAAGAAACTCTCAAAGAAAACAAAGAAGGGACAACCTGTTATGAAAGACAGATTAGAAATGTTGTTGGAAAAAATACAGCAACAGGTATCACAGTGATATCAGAGAAAATGTGACATACTTATAGAGTATGAAGTTTAATATTTTCAAATTAACATGATGTTGATTAATTTTGTTATTTGACAGAGAAGCATTTGAATAAACTATGTTTGGTAAATAAGTAAATTGTATTTAATATATTGCCCATCTTAAATATATATACACCATTGTAGTTTCAATTAAATTAAATAAAGACCCAAATATTAGAACTTCAATTGTAAGAGTTGATAAACCTTTACTTCTTCACAGTATAAGTAACTCTCATAATTTTAACATAAAGAAGGTATTATTTAATTTACGAATACTTTTGCTTGAATAACTTTATTTTAATAATTTGAATATAAAGTTATTAGTTTCTGTAATCATCTTTTTCTAAATTTGAAAAATGTCAAATTAATTATAAAAATTGTTATGCTATTAAAAAAATGTTACCAAATGATTGAAAATATGTTTGTAACGAAGAAACATATAACAAAAGGAAACTACAATATATTTGAAAGGTACGCTTACGACGAACGCATAATCGTAAAAAATGAACGATCGATGCGGTTGTATCCGATTCGAAATACAAATTTGCCCGCGCAATGCACAGAGCGCAGGCGCAGTGGCATTTGACGGGCAGCCGTCAGCTAGTCAGCGGTTGCAAATGGCGACAGCCACGAAATCTCTGGCACCGACTCGCGAATAGTTTCACGCCTACCGAGTACTGCGTGATCGAGCCGTGCGTGAACGTTACCCTAACCCAGATCGGTATGTACTTTAAGCTGATGTGATAATGCCCACGGATAGTGGATAACGTTTTTCCTCATAAAACGTAATCCCCGCTGGTTTCACTTGCCACCCGTGCGACAGGTCATCAGTGGCAAAAAGCCACCGTTCGACCTGTCTATCCCTTTCGAAATATTCCTTTTGCCTGCTCGATCGATACATCGTGATTCTCGTGTGATTTTCTAGTGAACATTACCACAATTCCTGAGCATAATCTCAAGGGTTTCCATGTAACGGGAGCCACTATCAGCGTTTGCACAGCACTGCTGTCAAAAAGTGTTTGCCGTCGGAATCTAGGACGCGGTACCGGCTTAATCGCTCGATTTTCCTTTCGAGCGTCAGAATAGGCCTTTGGTTCGCGCGGCTTGCCCTTTCAGTTTCTAACATCGATGTAACGTGCTGGATTTATCAACTGATATCGTACCCGAATTTAGTACAGCCAACTCTTTTTGTAAAGTTACTTTCGAGACCGAAGGGTTCGTTGATTCGAGTACACTTAATCAACGAATATCGTTTAGATCGTTTTCTTGAGCCTCCCCCGTACGTTTATCGCGTGTCATCAAATAACGATGTACATTCACGAGACTGCAAATAAATTTTCATGAATTAACCCTTAAGCAACGATACAAAGTCTCATTGACCTCTGTATATTTTTTTTCGATACTACATGTTTTTATGCGTATCTATTAATCATCGTTTCATGATAATCAATATTTATTTATGATAAAAAAATGGTACTGTTTATCTTTTTTATTTAAACATTTACGTGGTTAAAATGTTGAGATGTGATAAGAATTGTAGGTTGTTGTCTGAATTGAAATTTTGTAATATAAACATGTATTTTTTGAGCACACGAATACAACTGACTCTCAATGTATTTTATTTCACAGGTGGTTTTACATAGAACGAGACAAGATGCCGGCTGTGAGAGGAGATGGCATGCGTGGGCTTGCTGTATTCATTTCTGATATTAGAAATTGTGAGTTAAAATGTTTTTCTTTTTGCTATACTTTTGAATTATATTTAAATAAATCTATTAAATTACATTTTACATTGGTCACAATTAATGTGTATATTGTTACACTATCAAATAACAAGGAGTACAAGTTAACATTTGGATCATTAAAATTTTGACCCATGTTTCATTAAGAGATATGATGCCATTGAAACTAATGTGACAAGCAGAGTATTTAAAGCAGTGAAGAGTAGGAGATAGGGGGCGGAGTTCTGATATAGGCCTATCTTTCTGATATAGCTTGTCTTTGAAACACTAATATGTAATACTTGGCATAATATAATAAATGACTGTTAAAATTACCACTTTCTGTTTCCTTGATAAATTTTTATGAAAATAAATGAAAAATAGAATGATATATGAGTTATAGTTAT